ACTTACTGTTTTTTAAACAAATATTTGGGCCCCTTCTCTGGAAATTCTGACACTCTGGGTGTGGAGTAAGACCTGGGGTGATGGTGTTTTCAACTACTTCAGGTGATTCTATCAGAGAAGTTTGAAAAATGCTACTCAGGCCTAAATACAAGCCTTTGTCTTAAAATCCCATCCCAGACTGAGCCCCTGCTACCTGTCCTTAATCAGATTATAGTGGATATTAAAGGCAACCATAGACTGAACCCAAACCCACCCAAACCCTGACAGCACCAGATGAACTGGGTCAGTGTGAAAGGTACTGTGTGATCCTGTCTACTCTGCTGGGGAGTAGCCAAGAGCAGTGGCCTGGTCAACAACAGGAGCTCTAAAAATAAAGGACTGTTGTACGTGTTTTATGAGTGGGTCTTTACACTGAGATCAACGGGCCAGTAATAGAATCTGCTTGTGCAGTGCTGGGGCTTTGGAGGGTGAGGGCAAGGTTCAGGGAGTGCAGGGAGTTGTATATAAGGAGAACAGGAGCAGAGAGAGGCTGGGGTTCAGAATTACTGGAAACACTTAAACCTCTGTTTGCTACTTTCACCGCTCCAATGCCTTTTCCTTACAGTCCTTTCTTTCCTCTTAGCCGTGCCTGAATGATGTTTCTCCTTTTCCCTTTCCTAGACCTTGGATTTGGGATGCAGAAGCCCCTACTTTTAGTCCCTGTCATGGCCACTCCAAATGGAACTCTGGTCCACCCAGCACACTTCCTCCTGGTGGGCATCCCTGGCCTGGGGCCCAACATCCACTTTTGGCTGGCTTTCCCACTGTGTTTAATGTATGCCTTGGCCACTCTGGGCAACCTGGCCATTGTCCTCATCATTCGCGTGGAAAGGCGTCTGCATGAGCCCATGTACCTCTTCCTGGCCATGCTTTCCACCATTGACCTGGTTCTCTCCTCTGTCACCATGCCCAAGATGGCCAGCCTTTTCCTGACAGGCATCCAGGAGATTGAGTTCAACTTTTGCCTGACCCAGATGTTCCTTATTCATGCTCTGTCAGCCATGGAGTCAGCTGTGTTGCTGGCCATGGCTTTTGACCGCTTTGTGGCCATCTGCCACCCATTGCACTATGCTTCTGTGCTCACAGGGCCTACTGTGGTCAAGATCGGACTGGCCACCCTGACCAGGGGATTTGTATTCTTCTTCCCACTGCCCTTCATCTTGAAGCGGTTGTCATACTGCCGAGCACTTACTGTCACACACTCCTTCTGCCTGCACCAAGATATCATGAAGCTGTCCTGTACTGACACCATGGTCAACGTAGTCTACGGACTCTTCATCATCCTGTCAGTCATGGGCGTGGACTCCCTCTTCATTGGCTTCTCCTACATCCTCATCTTGCGGGCTGTGTTGGAGTTGTCCTCTCGGGGAGCAGCACTCAAGGCTTTCAACACCTGCATCTCCCATCTTTGTGCTGTTCTGGTCTTCTATGTGCCCCTCATTGGGCTCTCAGTGGTGCACAGGCTGGGCGGCCCCACCTCGCTGCTCCATGTGGTTATGGCTGATATCTATCTACTGCTACCACCTGTGGTCAACCCCATTGTCTATGGAGCCAAGACCAAGGAGATCCGTTCAAGGGTTTTCCATATGTTCTCACACGGCAGGTGAGAGGATACCCACCCCAGTGTCCTCAGTACTACCATGATAGGAGGATTAGCATTCTGTCAGATGTCTTGGTGACTGAAACATCCAACCCACTGGGACGTCTGCTTCCCATGATCTAAATAGATCTTGTATTTCTGGCTCCAGCAATGTGTCAGTACAGAAGAGCTATGGCTCAGTCTGTACTGGTCATTCTGGGGAATGATTGCCCTAGTCTCTCTGCTGTGGTGGCCTTGCTTTCTCCCCCTTTCCCAACTAGAAAATGCATGCAGTTTTGATGTGGGAAGGCTATGAATGCCACACCTCATGATTCATGCCAGTCTTGAAGTGTGATATTATTTTTGCCCCCATGTGTCCAAGCCACTGAATCTGTGTTGGCTATAAAACTTAGCTGCTCATGACCCAAAGTAGGTACACAGTGATAATTATGGGTTAATGAAGGTATTTGGGGGATTGTAGATGGAGGGAGACTGTAACAGGAGAGGAGGCAGCTCACATGAAATGTTTATGCTTCTGTGTGCATGTGGGTTTATTTATGTGGAATCTGCCAATGTGCAGCTGAGTGGCTCTGTGGAGACTATTCGTCGATGACGACGCTGTGTGTTCTGGTTTAGGATGAGAGTGTATAGGTACATTTATGTGGACATACGTGATTTTTAGTGTGTGTATGAGAGAGAGAGAGAATGGAATATGTGCACATTCGGTCTTGGTGAGTGTGGTAGCTGTGTCTTGGCATGTATATGTTTCATGGGTCCTGTCTCTGATTATACATTTATGGTATTTGTGTGGTAACTGTTAGTTGGTATGTGATATGCATCTGTGTGAGCGTTTCGGAGTCTGCATCTGTGTAGTGGGCAGTATCTTTATGTGTATTTGATGAGAAAGCTGCCTCTATCTGTTTGTCATATTTGTCATATGTAGAATGTGGTGCATGAGTGTGTGGAATGTGTAGTATTGGGATGGTTACACCTTTTTGCATATACAGTGTTTATCTTTGGGTATATGTTTATTGTGCTTAGTATTTGTGACATAAAGTCATCTTGTGTGGTATATGTGTCTTTAGTCATAGGTAGGTGGAATGCAGTGTCTGAGTTGTGTGTGTGCCTGCGTGTATGCTTTGTTTGTGATGATTGTATGTTAGGGCATATGTCTGGTGCATGTGTTTTAGATCACATTTCCTTTGTGTACTGGGTGTGTGTTATGTGGCCCAGTGTGTGTACAGCATCTGTGTCCCTGGGCATGGATTGATGTATGGCGTCTTTATGTAGTTGGGGGTGAAGGTAGAAGACTGAAGAAGACTGATTGTGAGTAGTAGAAATAATTTCCAAAGGTGAGAAACATGAGTCTCAGAGGCCCCGTTTCTTGGCCTGGGGTCAGCCTGAGGTCCTAGATTTCCACCATCTCAAAGGCCAGAGTACACCTTCTTCCTCCTGACCACCAGGATTTCAGGTGCTCCTGTCACCTCTTCTCTTCTCCCCGCCTGCTCTGCCCGAGGCTTGGCCTCCCTAAAACCCTGTCCCCCTGCCTCAACAGCAGGCCACAGTGTCTTCACCACTCCCTTCCGTTTCTTTCTGCTCTGCCTGCATGTTTAAAAGGCCTTGATTGGGTGGAGTGTCTGTTGATCCCTTTGGGGAAGCAAGGACAGGAGAAGACATACACGTGACACTGCGGAGGCTCGGGTAGTTCCTGGGGTGCATCTCATGGCAGCTACTCACTGAGCTTCCAGCTCCTGGAGTCCATTAGGTCAAAAACATTCACACTGAAGAATTACAGGTAGAAAACAATGTAGATTCATTTGAGGCAGAGGAAGTAATACTGAGCCAGTACTCATAAGGTTGAAATCCTGGAAACATCATAAAATGGCATAACTTACAACCTCTCTAGGCCTCATTTTGTCTTCTTTGTAAAGAGACATGACAACAGCAGTGATGTTGTAAAGCTTAAATACTGTGTGCACCCTTTGTAAACTGTAAAGT